AGACCAGGACAGGCCCTTAAATGCTTCTACAACTTATTTTACCTTTGTTGGTGGATTGCCTGTACAAGTGGTTTTGTCTTCCTCATCTGCTTCCAATCTCCAAGGAAGTGAAGCATCACCCCTTGCACAGAGCTGTCGGCTACTACTGCATGTTGGAACATACGGCCCCTTTAAATTCCTCCTCTGCTCAGCTACAAAAGAACTGTCTCCCTCCACTTTTACAGTCAGATACTGTGAAAACCCTCACCAGCAATGCTGCCTAGTGGTCAGGGAGGGGTGTAGCAAGTCGTCCTATCCTGATATCTCCCCTTTCCTCAGTGTTGAAAAACTGAAGTTCCTCGGTCACCGCCTTCCCAGATGTGGAGTACCTGGCTTATCTGTGTTAAGTTTCAGCCTACGCCTCTTGAAAGTTACAAACGCAAACCACAAAGCCACAGCCCAGATACAGAGGTGAGGAACATACAGAGGCCTAGCAGGCAGAAGTTTAGATTTAGCTGGTGGATTTCCAAATGAATAGTTGTGACCCATTGCCTTGGAACGAGACAGCGCTCCCTATTTGTGCAGGTGTCTCTACAATGGCACTAAGAGTCTAAATGCTTCGGGGGGGGGGGGCACTTACGGAGTTTGACAGGGCATGTGTTGTCCAACCCTTCACTGAACAGATGGTGTCCTTTAAAGGGCAGGGATATTAGCCTCATCTTGGACAAAAACTGTCCCCTTGAGAAAAGCAACAGAGCTGATCTAGTTACAACGCTGCAGGCTGTACCAAGAGCTGACAATCAATGATGTAACTGACAGATAGGTTGTGGGGAGGGAGTCACCGATTTCCTTAAGCGGGGGAGCCAGAAGCAGCAGGAGGGATAGCTCAATGGTTTGAGCATCGGCCTACTAAACCCAGGGTTGTGAGCCCAATCCTTGAGGGGGGTCACTTAGGGATCTGGGGCAAAATCAGTACTTGGTTCTGCTAGTGAAGGCAGGGGGCTGGACTCAATGACCTTTCAGGGTCCCTTCCAGTTCTATGAGGTAGATATATCTCCATATTTTTTTTTATTTATTTTCTTACAGCTGCCAAAATCATCTCCCTTTCCCAGTACTCGGAGCGTATCTTCCCTGCTTCCTGAATCTCTGCACTGCTTTCCCTTCTTCTTATGCATAAATTTGCAGTGTCTCCTCCTCACTCCCACCTCATTCACTCCCAATGCTCTGTCCAAGCCTCTATCCTGACTGCTCCCTTTAGCTGCATGTGCCATATTGTGGCCCATGCGCTAACCCCCTTGTACTGCTCACTTGGCACAAAGGGATTTTAAAGCTGCTCTAAATGGGCAACCAGGGATCCCCCGATTCCCTCTCTGCTCCCATTCACTAGACCAAGACCCTCACTATGCCCCTCTCTCAGCCTGGGAGAAGATGCTTAGGCCTATTCTGGGGTTTAGCTTGAATGATGCACATAAGAAAAGGCACAATAATCTTAGCTGTAGGAGCCCCAAAGGTGGATTCTGTAAAGAGGCAAAAAGCCATTGGTATGCCCCAGCTTAAGATGGCCAGAGGCCTCTCTTCTTTCTTTAAAGCATTTTATGAGTAGAGGTCAAGGAAAATCAGAAACTCTGAGTTCAGTTAGTTCAGAACAAGAGGAGTGGTGGCAGAATACAGCCCGCTGACAGCTGGCCTGGAAAACGATACATTTGTAACCTCGTGGCCTTTTCCATCTCTACTCAGAAAAAGAGGGGGGGAAAGCTTGTGAGTCTGAACAATCACAGCATAAGAAAAAATGAGTAGTTTGAGGTGGTGAGCAGGGCGTGAACCCCATTAACACCAACAGTATTTGCATAGCTACACCCACATCACACTGCTCTAAAAGCACAGGGATATAGGTCTAAAATTAATTCCTGCTCCTTGACAGAAGAAGAAGCTCAAGAGAATGCACCTGTCTGCATTACTGCACCGGATGGGCCACCACAGGTGTTTGTTACAAATGTTCTTACAAAAAAACAAACACTGAGTCTGGTCCTAAAAGCTCTTCAACACCCTCGATTGCCATGAGAGCTGATGGTGCTCAGTGCCTCTCAGGATGAGTTTAGTACAGGCCAGTGCTTTATAAACAAAGTCCTTTTGGCAAAGATTAATTCAGAAAATAATGCAAGCTTTTTAATAAATTAACACATCCTGAAGAAAAAGATATTCACACAGGTTAACCTGCTTCCAGAAAAGAATCCAGATTCCTCTGGGATCACAGCAGCAGCAGCTACTCTGAGGAAGCCAGCGTAACATACACATCTGATCTTTATTTTCCTACCCTTGTGATCTGAGGTCAGGTTTTGGAAAGACACCTGCAACTCATTCATGATACAAAAGTGACAGAGAACAAATGTGAGCCATGTTTTAAATATTGCGGAGGGAAATTCTGCATAGTAAACGAGCATCTAATTCTGTCTCTACACCACCAGGGTGGGCTACACGGCAAGATTAATGAGAGCAATTATGGTCGGAAACTAGAAAGGACAGCTATTGTTTTATAGCCTGCTCAACTCACAGCACTGAGGAACATGATGCTCTTTCATACCCACGGAAACCTTTCAATTCACTTTAGTTCAGGGGTTCTCAAACTGGGGGTCAGGACCCCTCAGGGGGTCGCGAGGTTATTACATGGGGGGGAGGGGCGCGAGCAGTCAGCCTCCACCCCAAACCCTGCTTTGCTGCCAGCATTTATAATGGTGTTAAATATATAAACAAGTGTTTTTAATTTATTACGGGGGTCGCACTCAAAGGCTTGCTATGTGAAAGGGGTCACCACTACAATAGTTTGAGAACCACTGCTTTAGTTAAATGGGAGAGAGACTGTGTAGGAATAAGGAGGTAAATGTTTATGTACCTTTTGACTGTTTCATAAGAACAACCATACTGGGTCAGACCAATGGTCCATTTAGCCTAGTATCCTCTCTTCCGACAGTGGCCAATGCCAAGGGCTTCAAAGGGAATGTACAGAATAGGCAATCACTGAGTGATCCATCCCCTGTCATCCAGTCCCAGCTTCTAGCAACAAGAGGCTAGGGACTCCCAGAGCAGGGGGGAGGGATAGCTCAGTGGTTTGAGCATTGGCCTGCTAAACCCAGGGTTGTGAGTTCAATCCTTGAGGGGGCCACTTGGGGATCTGGGGCAAAATCAGTACTTGGTCCTGCTAGTGAAGGCAGGGGGCTGGACTCAATGACCTTTCAAGGTCCCTTCCAGTTCTAGGAGATGGATATCTCCATTAATTTATTTATTTATCCCTGACCATCTTGGCTAACAGCCATTAATGGACCTATCCTCCATTCACTTATCTAATTCTTTTTTGAACCTCCATTTCTGGAACACTTGTGATTTAGAATGTTTTTATAGCAATTGTCGTTGTTGCAGGTTGAATTATTTCCTGCACAGGGGAGGATTAACGTTGGGTGCTTGCACCTGGGGCCTACATTCAGAGGGAGTGTAGATGCTACAGTATGTTTGGGTATAGCAAGTGGTGCTGCTGGCCAGCCAACTGCTGCAGAAACAAGACTTCAGGTGCCCCCCAGAACTTTCCGTGGACCCTGAACACCCTATGTCACACTGTCAACCAAGGGAAGATGGGGAGGCAGTGGCTGGAATCGTCATAGATCAGACTCAGCCACACTGCTGCCTGTCAGTTGTTGATCTGGGTCCTCTGTGGGCCTAAGGTACCTTTATTCCTGCATAAGGGGGCAATGTTCGCTGTCTCTTTACTAGATCACACATTTTACCCAACTATGAAATTCTCAAGGCTTAGGTCTCCTTTGATTTACACTGATACTTCACCATATTCAACACTGCAACAGAGAAAACAAGGAACACCAATGGCAAGAGAAAGACTTTAAAAACAGAGCAAATTAATTGAAAACAAACTTAAAAAACACCTTGAAGTTTATTGACAAGAGTAAATGATGCTGAAAAATAGTTACTAAAACTGGATGCACTTCCATATACACCCACAAGGCCCATTTCTTCTCTCATACTGGTTTTATACCAGTGTCACTCCAATGCAGTTTCTCCTGAATTATACCAATATGAGAGAAGAATCAGGCCAGGGTTATTAACCAGTCAGACATACTGAACTCTGTACTTATCTTATTGATTCAGTCTGACGGCGACACTGTTTTAAAGTGCCATAGTGCCAGGTCAGTATCTCTCTTTTTCCTCTGGAAAATACACAGTGCACAATACCACCACCAGGTGATGCAGGAAATTCATTCCCATTACTCAATCATAGCTTTCTGCTGTTCATCATGTAGAAATCAGCGGAGGCACTATTCTGTTTTCAGGAAACACACGTGATGCTTCGTCCAACGTCAGAATACCCTATGCTTCCTGGCCAACTCAGCCTTACCTGAAATTTGCTTCGCAGTGCAATACCCAAACAGAACTCAGCACTTGTTCCATGATTAACCTGTTTTAAGTGACCTAATGGAGGCTGGTCTTTAACTAAAGGTGAAATATAATTGTACTGGAAATTGCGGGGGACACTTGAAAGATGTGGTTTAAAACAGCAGTTGCCTATGGGAGGTAGCACTTAGTTTGAAGACTCTTATATTTCCCTTTTTAACTACCAATTATATTATTTAAATATTTACTAACTTAGCACTTACTTTAAAGAGAGAATTAAATGAAGAGAATCCTAGTTTGAAATTTACAGTCATCAGGCCTGCCAGGATATATTTCACACAGTTTAATCTGAATACTGTAAAGCAACTTTGAAAAAAAAAATCATTTTGGAAGATTAGTTCCTTATAGATTTTTAGATGTATACTAAAGGCATTCACTTAGGGTTTCCCACCAAGTACAAAATACTGTATAAACGTCCCCATTAATATCTACCCACAACAATTACTCAACTGAATCAACAGTATTAGGGACCAGAAGGTTGCTCTTCTTTTAAAAATACAGCCACAATGCCTGCTCCCAAAAAATAATTAATCCTCGTATTGAGGGGTAACACAGAAGTTCCCTACCTAAAAGGCCATGAGGTTCAGATTTGCGCCTCTCAGAGCTTCTGCCCTGGTCCTTTTGTTTCTTGCTTCCTCTAAGACTGCCAAAACGCTTCATGAGCTGCCGCGGGCACCAAAGCAATAGCAGCCGTCAATCATACCAGGTATCAGAGGAGAAGAAAGAGCAGATCTGATCCAAAGGTGGAGGGGGGCAGGAAAATAAGTCAGTTAAAATGGAAACACGGGGGCAAAAAGAAAGATATTCCAAAAAGTCAGCTGAAACAACGCGTGGCTACGAAAAGCTTCAGCTTCTGAATTTCTGAAAGAGACTTCAGACCACGTCTTAATGACAAAAAGATCCAGAAAGAGTAGCTGAACTTTGCCCAAAGCAGTTCCGATCTTAATTCTTACTGTACAGTAACTATTCTGAAAAGCTCTGTGGATACCAGGAGAATTTCAAAAGCCCGTATAGCTTGCAGCGGCAGTTCTTATCCTTAAGCAGTCAGAAAGCTTCAGAGGCTGAAACAGAATTTCACCAGTGGATCAGCTTATGCAGAAGAGGTCAGTAACTAGCTGATAAGCTCCCCCTTTTAAAAAATACTAAATATGCAAAGGAGGCACAAGTTCTCTTGAAGGGAATTGTCATGTGCAGTTCTGCATGATGTCTCTTTAAAAAGACTGTAAAAGGAAACCACCCCTGTACAGACAATTCTTGGCACCAATTGGTCAGAGCACATTCACATTATGACATGACATCACACAACTATTTTGATTCATGTGTCCTAAGTCTTTGCAGGGACAGAATCATACGGCTGCCTATTGATGAGCTAAGAAGCGACAGACTCCTTGAGGACGAACAGCTAATGGATTAATGGGGAATGAGGCCTTGCCAGTTCCTTAAAAGGAAGGTGGTCATCTTTTGGAAACTAGAGACAGAGCTGCATGGTAGACATTTCTGTAGCAACTTGCACTCTCTCCAAATATCCTTGTACTGTACACAAGGAAATGGTTCTGATAGATTGCCCACATTCAGCCAGTGCCCTGCTCTCTGCAAAGCAAAGGGGGCTTATGACAACTGTTTCCAACACGGTTTACTTTAATTGAAATCTACCTTGCAAAACTTTTAAAACAAAAATTATAAAACAATGCAAAGCAGAAATCTCAAACCTGTAAGGGCTCTTATCCAGAGTAATTACCACACACATTTATTAGATTAGGATATGGGATTACAGGTTTAGACAATTATATTAGGAATAGGCTGAACATTCCGGGCTAGGTCCTCAGTTGGTGTAAATCCAGGATCTGGTCCAATGTTTCTATCCGCTTTGAATGCCAATACCCATTGTCTTCAGGATTACGGTGAATGATTGGTTAAAAAACAAATTCCGTGATGTTCAAAGTATCAGAGGGGTAGCCGTGTTAGTCTGGATCTGTAAAAAGCAACAAAGGGTCCTGTGGCACCTTATAGACTGACAAATGTATTGGAGCATGAGCTTTCGTGGGTGAATACCCACTTCGTGATGTTCAAAGGTACTGAATACCCGCAGCTCCACAGACTTCACTGGAATTTGTGAGCGCTTAGCACTTTCAAAAATCAGATTCTACATGAATAATGAGAAATAGCCACACCTCATTCTCCACCATAAGGGAGAGCAGAGGAGAGGAGAAATGGTCATTGGTACTGCCAGGGAGTCTCTCCTGACAGGTCACTATGGGGGAATTGCTATTGTCACAGCAAGGTCACAATCCATTTAAGTGCTGACTGACTCTCAGCATCCATCTGACTCTTAGCATCCATAGAAACAGAGCGCTCCACACATCTCCAGCCCAAGAAAGCAATGGGGAACCTAACAATCCTTCTGCTGAGTCCCACCAAACTCCTCTTTGCTCTGTGGCTTCTGACGTCGCAGAGCATGCCATGTTTCAGAAACCTCAGTGTCAATTCTTACACACTCCGAGATTTCAGAAGCGTGATGCACACTGGATCGTCAACACTCGAGGTGTCCCAGAGCACATGGGAGTCAGAATTAATTAAGCTATAGAGATCGGATCCAGGTGAGGCTTCTAGGTCCTGGTAACGCAAAAGAATTGGAGGGCCCTCCCATCCACTGTAAAGGAAACTTGGAAAAAGAACACAGGGCAAGCACCCTTGGTTCTCCCTCCCACACTTCTTTAAAAAACCAAGGAAATTATTAACAAAAAGCTTCATTAACTTCAAACTAAGGCTGCCCTATAGCTGAATACTGAATTTAAATATTGTATTCAAAGTTGTTCACAACTCTTCCCCTCTCTACTTGTCCTCCCATCTCTTATGAAACACCTTCCCTCACCCCTTCTGCTCTGCCAGTTATGCCAGCCTTGTCAGAACCCCGCACAATGATCTCAGTATTTTCCAGCAATGCTGCTCTTTATACATGGAATACCCTCCCTGAATTATTCTGTATGGCCACTGCCCTCTCCTCCAAATCTTTCCCTGAGGCCCACCTTTCACAGAATTGTAGGACTGGAAGGGATCTCAAGAGGTCTTCTAGTCCAGTACCCTGCACTCAAGGCAGGACTATGTATTATCTAGAGACCATCCCTGACAGCTGTTTGTCTAACCTGCTCTTAAAAATCTCCAATGACTGAGATTCCACAACTACCCTAAGCAATTTATTCCGGTGCTCATCCACCCTGACAGTTAGGAAGTTTTTCCTAATGTCAAACCTAAACCACCCTTGCTGCAATTTAAGCCTATTGCTTCTTGTCCTATTCTCAAAGGTTAAAGGAGAACAATTTTTCTCCCTCCTCCTTGTAACAACCTTTTATGTATTTGAAAACTGGTATATCCCCCCTTAATCTTCTCTTCTCCAAACTAAACAAACCCAATTTTTTCAATCTTCCCTCATAGGTCATGTGTTCTAGATCTTTAATATTTTTTACTATTATTATTATCATTATTATTATTATTGCTTTCTTCAATTTGTCCACATCTTTCCTGAAATGTGACGCCCAGAACTGGACACAATAGTCCAGCTGAGGCATAATCAACGCAGATTAGAGCAGAAAAATTGCTTCTTGTGTCTTGCTTAAAACACTCCTGCTAATACATCCCAGAATGAGGTTTGCTTTTTTTCCAACAGTGTTACACTGTTGACTCTCATTTAGCTTATGATCCACCATGACGCCCTGATCCCCTTCCACAGTACTCCTTACTAGGCAGTCAACTCCCATTATGTATGACTGTTCCTTCCTAAGTGAAGTACTTTGCATTTGTCCTTATTGAATGTCCCATCCTTACACTGTAAGACCTTTAAACAATGTTCAAGTGGTACACATTCATGTTTAAAAAAGACAAGTCAATCGGAGATGCATGTGAGTTTCTGGGAATAGAATTTGGCCCAGTAACTTTACAAGGAATAGAGGGCAAGAGAAGAAGAAGAGAGAGAAAGCTAAGAAAACAGCCAGTAATAAGCAGCTGAAATTCCATTGCCCCAGGTGCAAAATAAATGAGCCTCACTACAAAAACCACTGTTAACTACATCTCAACCCTACTCTCCCCACAGCAGCATTTTCTCTTTCTTCTGCACTACTGTGACCACTGAGAATGACTTAATGTCATTAGAAACAAAAAAATTTAAATCCCTTTTTAATGAGATAGAAATTGGTATCCCTTCAGTGCAGAAACAATATTCTCATACCCCGTTTGGCAGGAGCCAAGAATAAATACACACCGATGACCTTTTCAAGCAGGCCACTGCACCAAGGGGGCTCATTTCCCCTTGTTAAGAATGGCAGCCAGGCTCTAATGGTTTTACATACTGCTACTAGAAAATGAGACAATGCTGTGTAACAACAGACTTTCATGGTCATTTGTTAGAAAATAATAAGTGCTGGGACTGCAATCACTTTGGCTCCTGCAGCTGATGTTCTAACAACTGATATTGCACCTGTACATCTGATTTCACATCTGTGTTAACCAGTTCTGTGGAAACATCTGAAAAAAATAATAAAAAGCCAGGCTTATTGGAGTTGTATTAGGACAGCCAAAGTTCTGGAGGCTTGAAACTGAAATCTCTTCTAAACAGCAATGTAAATACTTTGTCAAGTAGTTTTTAGGTCCCCAGATGTAAGCTATACCATGTTCTGTCTCCAGGGATATCTATCAAATTTTTAAAAAACCTAATGTGGCTGATCCTGAGCCTTGTGGAGCACCCAGACCTCCAGCTGATCTCAAAGGAAGTTGAGGGTGCTGATGTGCAGACTCAGGTCAAAGATAAAGAGATATTTTTCAAGAATTAAATTAATCACAAGGCTGAGGGGTTTTTGGTGGGAGGGGCAGGAGTGTGTATGAAATTCTTCCCCATAATGTTGAACACCTGACCACAAGAGCACTGTGCAAACAAATTAGATCCACCCAGTGAGACAGACTATGATCCAGTTTCATTTCATATAATCAATTTCACTCTGTTAGTTCTTCCTGCCCACCCCCTTCTCAAAACCCCTCATGTCTCCATCCTAGTCCCTTCCCTGTTCTGCTTCTATACCTTACCCTGATGTGACTTCCTCCGCTCTCATGGTTTTAATGACCATCACTACGCTGACAACTCTTCAATTTGCCTCTGCTCCCCCTCATCTCTCTGCCTGGGCTCACTCTCAGATCTGCAGCTGTCTCTCGGACACCTCTTCCTGGGTGATTTGCTGTCAACTCAAACACTACATGGCTAAAATAGACTCCTCATCTTTCCCCTCGCTGCCCAAATTCTCCCCACCCACACCCTCTTCTATATCCCACCAACATCTTTGTGCCTCAGACTCACAAATCTAATATGTCCCCTGGCACCTCTCCATCCTTCACCCCTCAAATCCCTTTAGGCTGCTGCTAAATCTTTCATTTCTTCCTCTACCTCTCCCATAGCAATCATTGCTCTCCTTCACTGCTGCCAACCCTCTCATCCAGGCCTTGGTACTCTCCTGCTTAGATTATTGTAACTCCTGTTCTTTGGCACGCCTGACTCCCACTTTGCTCCCCATTCCAGTCTATCCAAAATGACGCCACTAAGTAAACTTCTCTCTCTCTCCTGCCAATCTGACCTTGTCAGACCCACACTCTCAGAGTCTCTTCCCTGCCTTTGTATCTCAGCTGGCATCAAATTCAAACTCCTTCCCACCTTCAAGGCTTTGCACAGCTCTACATTGTCTTCCTCTCTCCTCTTGTCGCATGTCATTCATGTGATCTCCCACTTCTGCTTCCCTTCACACACCCTTTGTGTCCCTGTCCCATAAACAGGGCCCTACATATAATATAATTATGCAGACATGAAGAGTAATGTAATTATCTATTTTTCCCAAATATGCTGCATATTTGTAATCCAGGTGCTAAGCTTATTTATTTTATTGCGTCTCCAGCCCTTATGGTTGCAAAGAAAAACTTAATAATGAGAACTGAATGTAACCAACGCAGGGATGTCTGACTGAAGAGGAGCTCTGTGTAAGCTCGAAAGCTTATCTCTCTCACCAACAGAAGTTGGTCCAGTAAAATTATATTAACTCACCGACTTTGAGTCTCTACAGAGAGAGCATGAAACAACAGCTCTGATATCCACAAACTTCCCTATTCATCTCAGTGCAGGGTTAACTCTGGACTCTGAGGCCTTGTCTTCACTATGGGGGGAGATCGATATAAGTTATACAACTTCAGCTACATAAATAACGTAGCTGAATCAACATACTTAGATCTACTTACCGCGGGGTCCACACTACACTTTGTCAACGGGAGACGCTCTCCTGTTGACTCCCCTTGCACTTCTCGTTCAGGTGGAGTACAGGAGTCGACAGGAGAGCGATCTGCAGTCGATTTAGCGGGTCTTCATTAGACCCACTAAATCGACCATCGATGCGTCCAATGCCGTGCATCGCCCTTGGTAAGTGTAGACAAGCCCTGATGTAAATATTTTAAACACCAACGTTGTTAGCTATTTCACAGCTGATCATTTTACCAGAAATATCAAGCTGATGCACTTTTCCCTTTTGGTTAGATGTAGAAGCAAAGCTACTGACTCAGTTACATGCTCTCAAGGTTTGCTGCAGTGAAATGTTTTCCCATTATCCACTTTTTCCTGTGTGCTGGCCCCGCTAGGGGAGGTCTGAAGCACAATGATGGGGCAGTGGCACTGCTTGTGTTTTTGCTGTGGGTAAGCAGAGGACTTCAGTCTGCAGTGCCAGGCACTAGCTTCACAAAAATTGGTTTTGAAAAATATGAAAACTAAAATTAAGATGTAATAATTATTTTAAATACCCAAAATGTGTTCTAACCTCCCCAGCTCACTCTGTACATTATTGCTACATTAAATCCTGACACCTCTGGGATGTTTCTTAAACTCATCCTTCCCAGGGATTTAAGATGGAGCACAAGGAATATCAATAACTTTCATGGGAATAGTGAGTACTGGTGTAATAGTGATTTCTAGTAACAGAAATACTGCATTCCTGCTTTACCCATCAGGGACAATGAGTAAGGACTGCAGGATTTGCATCCATAACAAATCATCATTTTTTAGCATCTGATTAGTAAACTATGCAGCATATTTCTGCAGCAATCACACATGCTTTTTAGCCACAAAAAGAATGTTATTAATGTCTAAGCAGAGCTGTTATTACATACTGTTCAATCAGGCTGCATTTGATCTGATAATCACATCAAGTCTATTCTAACAAACACAAAATCAAAAAGGTAATTAGGAGTTTTTGGCTAATGAGGAATATATCCAGAAGAAGGTTTTACACAAATTAGCAGAGACAGAAAAGTTCTTATAGAGAAACTTTTTCTTTCTCTCTTCCCTTTCTTCTCGTTGCTTCCCCCACCTTGACTTGGAACAGCCAGACTTATTTGGCCACTGCACAATTCCATAAATCAGACTCATTGGGCACTGCAGAGCAGAACAAAGTATTCCCCTCGGTTCAAATGGCTGGAAAAGGCTTTCAGACAACACGGAACGGAGAAAAAAATGAAACTCACAGATGGCTCATAGTGGAAAGGTGTGATTCATGTCCATAGCCTCACAATTCCTGGTGTGACAATGGGCACACCAAAGTGGAGGAGACTTAGCATCACTATCCCACAGTTCAGGGCAGGGAATACCTTATCCAACTGATACTACCAGAGTACTATAGAAATAACCTAACTGAAATGAAATTGGACAGGACACTGGGAGTGATCTTCTATCCCTGTAGTAAGTGCCATGGGAAATTTAATCTTCAAAAAAAGTCAATAACTTGGTTTTACTTAACACAAAGATGAAATCACCTAGCACACATTGTCCTTAACAGAGGACTATGGGACTGGTTCTGTATTGACTTGGTGAGAAGATGAACACATACTGAATTATCAACATCACTATATTACAAACAATGCTACTCTAATACCCAGCTATTTCCCATTAAACTACTAACCAGGCTCATACTGCTTAGCTTTGCAGCCCAAGTTGATAAGCCACAAGGTGGTGGTAGTAGCAACATAGCTTAACACAACTTCACTGTAGTTTTAACCATGGAGTTGAAAAAATTATCACAAAATCTAGTCATAAAAAACAGAAGTTAAAAATAATTTCAGATTATACACCGGCCCTCCTACTAATTATTATGGTTTTATAACCACTTGCCTTGTTTTAAAATGATTTTTTCTCCCCATTTCTATGTGAAAGACCCACAAAGAGGAGAAACTGACTATACAGGAGGAGCAGAGCAACTGACTACGCAAAGGGCTATGAAATGCACACAGTAAGCAAACTGTAAAAAAGATGTTTTTTCAGAATTATTCTCCTCTAATTTTTTGAGTGAAAATGATCTTGTGTCCACTGGAACAAGAAGTAAAAAAAAAAATCAGACAAGTATGATTTTTAAGTTTACGATATTCCCCTTAATATTTTATCATGGACCAGCACTATGGCACTGGGGGTACGGTACACACACACACACACACACACACACACACACACGATAGTATGCCACAATGGACAGCAACAGTTGCCCCCTCCTATTAGCCGTCCATGCCCACCAGAAAGAAAAAACTCCAGTGATAGCCCAGTGAAGAAAATGCTTGATTGAAGGGAAGCATTGACCCATGCCCTGATGATATAAATCTTTAGAAGCACAGTGGATAAAAGTCAATGATTCATGTTTTTTAAAATCAGATTTGCTTGATTAAAATCTGATTTTGTATTTAAATTAAATATTTTTCTTTTAAAAAAATAAACCTATTTAAAATTAAATCTGACATAATGACTAAGGCTACGTTTTAGTCATGGGTATTTTTAGTAAAAGTCATGGACAGGTCATGGGCAGCAAACAAAAATTCATGCCCTATGACCTGTCCATGACTTTTACTATATACCTCCTTACTAAAACTTGGGCACGGGTCACGGGTGCTCTGGGGAGACAGTCTGGGAATGACACAGGTGCTGGGGAAGATGGCCCAGGCCCCTGCTGGTGCTGGGGGGTGGGTGGGCAGGCAGCAGCACGCAGCATGGGACCCCCCACTGGTGCTGGGGGGTGGGTAGGCAGGCAGCAGCACGCAGCATGGGACCCCTGCTGGTGCTGGGGGGTGGGTAGGCAGGCAGCAGCACGCAGCATGGGACCCCTGCTGGTGCTGGGGGGTGGGTAGGCAGGCAGCAGCACGCAGCATGGGACCCCAGCTGGTGCTGGGGGGGGAGGGTTGGCAGGGGCTCCCTACTCAGCTCCAGGTGTCCCTGCAGCTCCTAGGCAGCGGAGGGGTCAGGGGGCTCCGCGTGCTGCTCCCACCACAAGTGCCAGCTGCGCAGCCCCCATTGGCCGGGAACCACAGCCAATGGGAGCTGCGGGTGCGGGCAGCGCACGGAGCCCCCCCGGCCCCTCCGCCTAGGAGCTGCAGGACCATGCCAGTGGGAGCCAGGGAGCCCCCCACCCTTAGGTAAGCACCCCTCAGTACCCCTCCCAACCCCCACCCCTAGCCCTGAGCCCCCTCCCACACACCCAAACTTCTGCTGCCCGGCTTGGGCAGCCCCTGAGCAAGCACCAGCCGCTGCAGAAGTCACAGAGGTCACAGAATCTGTGACTTCCGCGACAGACTCGCAGCCTTAATGATGACAACTTATTTTTAAGGCCTAAGCTTACTACAATCTTTAAAATAATTTAAATTAAACAAAAAAGTAATATTCAAGTAGTAATTGTTTGCTGCTGAGGTTTTAAAGAAAGTCAAACTACTGAACTAGCGGCATTCACTGGCTAAGCACCCAGAACCAAAGTTAAAGTGCTAAACCAGTTTTTGACAGCAATAGTCTCTTCTGCAGATGCAGAAAGACTATTTTCTTCACTTCAGTTTATTCAACTAGTTCAGTTCAGTGATTAGCTCATTCAAAATTGAGAAACCAACTGGGAGTTGAAAAAGCAGGAAAACTTGTTTTTCTCTTCCAATCTGTGATGAGGTGCACTCCCCTCTCGTGAGCACCTCCTGTTGCCTCATTGCAATCCTGAACTCTTAATCTCTGCTCCCAGTGCCTCCTGTTGGCTGAAGCCCTCATCAGGTGTGTCTTCAATGACTCAGCCCTCCAGCTACGTGTCACAGTCTAAAATTGACAAACCCCTTCCAGGGTAAAAAAAATCCTACAAGGACCATCACTGTGTCCTTGTTGGCATCTGCAGCCCTGTCTCTGGGCTCAGTCCTCATTCCCTTCTGGGCTAGTTTTAAGTCTGTTCCTGCACTGTTATGGAGCACTGGCCCCTGGCCTTTCTCCTTGGAGACTCTTTGTCCTCGGTGGTTCTCTGGTGTTCCATCTCTCCAGCCAGGTCACTATTTAACTTCAGTCCCCTTCCAGGGGGTTATGACCAGGAGTTCACCAAACAGTCTATCTGCCCTTATCAGGGTCTTCAGCCCTGTCCCTGAGCCCTTTAAATCCCAGTTCTTTGCTTGGGCTTCTAAACGAGACTTATCCCCTTCTTGGGACGTAGGCTACTTCCCCAGTGGTTGGTGGGGGGACCCAGGCCCACCTACTACTCTGGATCCCAACCCAGCGACCCTATAAACAGCAGCCAGGTGCTACTTCCATTAATAGTTGCTGCTGCATTCTCTGGGCTGCTTCCCACATAGCCCTTACCTCAGGGCTAATGTTCTCAACTCCTCTTCTTCCTCACTGAGTGACAATGCCACCAGAACCCATCTTCTGGTTCTCCCTGGAGCTCCAGTGACCAGCAGGGGGCACCCTTCCTTGCTCCTCTGGTCCCAGTCCAGAACTGACTTGCTCAGGTCCTGCAGCGCTTTTAAACTGATTCCGCTGCGCTCTGATTGGCTGCTTCACTGCAGCCTTTCTAGGCAGGCCTGGAGGACCCACTCCTTTCCTGGGGTGGGGTGTGGTAGGACCTTGAGGCTTCCAGTAAGGGACTTCAAAGGGCCTGGTACACCCAGTCACACAATCTATGAATAAAAACTAAGTGTGAGGATGAGATCTACTAGTTCTAAAATACTGAAGAACATAGTAACCAGAAAACAATCAGTTCAATTCACTACCTACAGATAAGACTTCCCTTGTTTAATAAATCTAAATGCAAAACATGTTTTGATAAACTAACTTATTTTCCTTTCGTATCCAGCACATTTAAGGTGGTTTTAGTTAACTAATAAAAACTCTTTTAAATGATGTTTTTTGTGCATTTTAATTGAATTACAATTTCCATCCAAATGGAGCTTGCCACAAAACACAACTAAATAATTCATCATTATCTAGTAAATAAGAATCTGTCATTCACCATTTTCTAACATAATACAAAAATGTAAAAATGAATCTGTATAATGTATGCTAACCTATATAATTACTTAAATAAATGTGTGCAGATATAGTGATATATAAAAGAAACTGTCTCTTACCTAACCACAGACTACACAAGGCTTAACGGATAAAAACAACACAATGGATTGCACCACAGTGTGATATACACAACACAAGTGTAATGCCAAAGAGACTCTGGAAAGCAATGAAATGTCATCTAATCAGTACCTTCCAATGGTTCACTGTCATTTCAAGTGATATTGCTCTTGGGAGTGGTACCATAATGGATTGGCAGCAACTCTCTAACCACAGAAATAGATTGGTGATCAAATCCAACCTACTGGTAATCACCCTTGTGTTTGAAGACATCCTCATCTTGGTGCATATGTTCACACCATCATGAAATCAAATAGAACCCCATTTGCTTTTTAATATACCATAAGAGCTCTAAAAGGGGAACTGAACAAAAAACATGACCTACTCTTGATCACTTCTCTGATCTAGTGATTCCGGAAAAATTTCGCCATCAACAAGGAAATGAAGTTGAGGACTTTGCATAAGTTTATATCAAGAATAATTAAAAAACAAAACTTACTAGCAAGCTCTGCCTATAAACTCTGTTCTCTAAGGAGCAAATACTCACAAAAATCTGACTCAGTGTTCACATTGCTCTGAATAATTCTATGCATAATGTGTCTGCCTCACATATAGTGGTTCCAAAGAGCTTACTAGAATTAGTTAGCCAAGTACTAAGACCCTGCCTGAAAGGAGCCTGAACAGATGGATGTACGGAGGAGGAAGCATTCATTATTTTATACGTCAGGCCTGAAAAACTTGTATAAAAATCTTCCCAGCTTTTCTCTCCATCTTACTGAGATTTGTGGGCACAGAGGAGACAAAGTAATTTTCTTAGCAACAGAAAAGTAAAAATGTGCTCCTACTAGAATTTTTAAAGGAGGCTAACACACTGTGAAAAAAGTCAGCGCCTGGAGCTCACTGACTAATGGTACCTATAAAGACCAACCTTCCAGCACAATGAAAAGGGGAAACAGCAGCAGAGACTGGGGCAGCAGGTAGTTAGAGGGGACAGCAAATCTTTAAGTGAGTTAAGATGCAAGATCTCTTATGTGATATAATCATCCAAGCTCCTGTCTTTGCTATTGCTCTACAATATTGCCATAAGTACTCCAGTAATAGGTAGGGAACTCTACAAAGGGACATCGCATCCAATTTGCAAACTGCCAGCCTACCCTCAGTGAGCTTTGCTCCATACACTATCAAGATTTGAGGGTGTGAATCAAAGAAAAATGTGGGATGACAGTCTGTAGCTTAAGGCAGAGAAGAAACTGCATGATGTGGAAAATTCTATTACTGTTCATTCATTACACTGAGCGCTTGAAAACACGGTGGATTGTGAAGTGTAGAGGAACCATATTTATGGCCACTGTCATTACCTGGTGTATTTCCATTGCGTGGCCAGGTCACATGGTCTCAGAGTCATAAACACACACCAGGTTGTCACCCTTCACCAACTCTGTATTTGTTATTTCCTTACACAGTAACACAGTATTGCTGGCTTACAGCAAGAGGGGGCTTCCCTGCAACCTTCACTCCCTAGCCAGGCTCACCCTCTACACTTCTCTTCTGAGCACACTTGCTCTCGGTTCCTTCCACTTATATGCTCCCAATTACATCATTAGCCTGGTGACTACCACCCAGGCACTCAGAATCCCCCAACAGAAAGTATTTAATTGCTCATAACTGAGCCTGCAGCCTTCTTCATGCTGCAGCAAACATCAGTGACCAGGGTGCTACGAACAGTACCCTGTCATAACCCTGAGAAAAACCTCACATTAAAAAAAAAAACACTGGCTTTGTTGGGGTCACTGAAGACATGAAATAGGGGAGAATGCTGAATTATTCTTTCTAAATGGATGATGAAAGTGCTGGGAATGGATCATTTAGATTTTCCACTCACTGTTGCTGCAGATCATATTCCTGGGGAAGGTCAAGTAGGGGTCAGTCCCAGCCGTTCTGGCAGAATGTACACAGAGCAGATTGGCAGGAGAAATAAGACTCTGAAACCTGCCCGTACCAGTGAAAGTCTGTGGCTAATGTTAAAGGCAGAGAATGCCCAGCCTACCTACCATACCCTGCTCTGCGTCTGAAAAGCATGGTTGGATGCTAGACACAACAAAGCGGGATTTCACAGAAACAATTTCTCTCCCTCTCTGAGCATTACTTGTTTGGAATTTTTTACTTATTAAAATATCATGGTTCTCGGAGCCTGAACCTCTGTTAAGGAATAGCTATGCCAGTGCAGGCTCCCCACCACTCCCCCACCACTGTGCTTCAGCTCTCACCTGAGCGAGTAGTCCCATGAGTAATCCCATTTACTTCAAGTGGAGCACTCATCTGGTTAAAATTAAGCACAGACTTAAGTGCATTGCTGAATCGGGGCTTGAGTCCTTGGAGCCTCTACTGAAGCTGGCAACTAGTATGCCAATATGGGTGTTTCTACACAGCAAGTGAAGGTAGCACAGGTAAACATTCGATCTTTAGTCTAGCTAGCCTGGGTAACAACAGTAGGGTAGATTGTGGTCGCATGGGCTTCAGCACAGGTTAGCTCACCAGGTACAAGCCGGCCAGGGAGTCGGGGAATCTATGAGGGTTACTGGCCTGTGCTGAAGCCTGTGCAACCATGTCTACACTGTTATCCATGCTAAGTAGATTAAAGATTAAATGCTTACCTGTGCTACAATCACACCTTCACTTGCAGCGTAGGCATACCTTGAGTGCCAACTTCACAAGTGACTTCTGGGGTTTTGACACCTGTCCCCTGGGAACGGGAGTGAGACCCACAAAACTCACTTCATGTGGGTCGCCAGGCAGCCATGAAATGAAATAGTATCAACAGTTCTGCAGTGAAGTGAGAGTATTGCAGTGCTCTGAATATCAGCTTTGTAAACTCACCTTACTGCTGGATGCACACGGTGCTTTACAGACATACAGAAGGACAAGTTCCCCGAGCAGAGGAGCTTACAATCAAAACCCAGAAAATAACGACAATGGGCAAAGTGATGAGGGGATTCAAAAATGATAAAGAAAGGGACTCCTTGTTTCATATGTACAGATTCTAGTTCCTTTTTTAAAATAATGATCTAGAATCCGTACATATGAAACAAGGAGTCCCATTTGCAAGTAAAATGAAATTTAGGGTTTTTGCTCAGTGCATTTTTGACATCAAATATAAATACAATAGTGATAATAAACAATATGGATCACACTATAGCTAGTTGTTGTGTCTTTTCACCCACTGCAGTGGATTGAAGGGAGAGTGACGTGTGAAAATATCCGACCCTGCAACAGTCACAACACATACTTGTGCAGCTTGCCAACTCCCAGCAAGCCAGAATACGTGTGCTTGTTACCTCTGCTTTTACCGCAAGTAAGTGTACCTCTTTTGGTGGCCAGCTGGCACTTGATAAGATTTTGTACCCTCTGTGTTACCTTGTGGTCTATTTATTTTTACTCTGAAAAGCTCATTTTAAAATGACCAAGTCCTGAAGTGCAATGACTTTGCTTCTAGAACGACTGTGGAGTGCTGGCAGAGTCCTTTTAAAGAATCACCTATAATGGGCAGAAAGCACTTTAATTTTTTTAAAGTAGCCGTCTTCCTCTAATTAAAGACATGAAGTGTTAGGAACAAAAAACAGATGCTTGCTACCTCTATTGCTGGGCACCTCACACGTCTAACAATGCAAAGCCTGGTAGATGACATTCCCATTCACTCAAGAAAATGTACTACTTACTTAGCCCTTCAGCTGGGTATTGCATCCTTTCAAAGCCACTATTAACCATGCCATAGAATTGGCTGTAAAGAACAACCCAAACTGGTCACTATTTCTGTGTCGTGACTGGGACTGTGAGAATCAGGCTTTTACAGGGTGCTTTAAGAAACCTTATCAGCTTTAAAGATTAAATGTTTTTGCTATTATTACCCAATGTGCATTAGGAAAGAAAAATCAATGTCATCACCTTGGCAGCTAGCAATAAAGACTTGGCAAGTCTCTGACTGTCATATTAATCACAAGCATGTGACTAGAACAGAAATATCTGTCAAAAAACCTCTATCTTAAAAGCCATGAATAGAAGTTATTGCTCCCAGCCATGTACTGCTGTAACTCATGCAGGTTGTTTCCAGCCTTAATAAAATACTGATGGGGAGAGGGAAGGTAAGGGAGGCAGTGCTGCTCCAACGACCAGGGCACTGAACTAGGAATCAGGAAACTTGGGTTGTATTCTCAGCTCGGCTAATGTTCTCACTGTGAGACCACGGGCAACACACTTACCCTCTTTGAGAGCCTCAAATGAACAGCTCTGTGAAAGTGCTCTATGGGAGACTTCCCATGAACAGGTCAGACACGTTATTTCTGGCCCCCTCTCCCCCTATTAACCAGTAAGGGAATTAAAAGTCCAAAAAGAAACATGCAGGTCTAGTTAGTTCCCTGTAGATTTTTAAGGTCATTCAGAGGCCTCCCAGTTTCTCTTCTGTTTATACTCCTCCTGTGTCGATACCCATTACCTGCCTATCTGCAGAGAGTGCAAATGGGAAAGTCACTGGAGAGTCTATCCTCTCGTCCTCAGTAAATTGCTCAGAGTGGATTATTGCAGGAGCAGTTCAGATGGCAGCAGCCCTACTGTCCAGACACATGACAGCCCTACTGGCTGCAGTAGCATTGGAGAATCTTATGGCCTGGAAATTTTAGCCACCTAATATGCATCTAAATCAAATTGATTGTTTTATCCCCTCAGTGTATTAAAAGATGTAACATGAGCTACTGTAGCAGAGTGCAGCACAGATAAGGAAAGTTCAGCTTATCTTTATTTTGAGTTACAGCATTAGGCAGTCAGTGTTCTGCCCTCTGCAATTCCTCCTTGCACCCTCCCTGCGGGCCCCCTATTTATAGTCACCTGCTAAAAAATTAACGCTTTGTTAAACAACCAATCTACTAATGCCCTGCACTTCCATAGTACCTGCCATAGAAGTATCTTAAAGCACCATGCAGAAATTAATGAATGAATCCTCACACCATCCCAATGATGTAGGAAAGTCTCCTTGTCCCTTTTTACAGATAGGGAAACTGAGGCTTGTGGAGGTTAAGTATTCTACTCAAGGTTGCAAAGTCTGTGGTACCGCCAAGAACAGAATCCAGATCCCTCAACTCTGAGTCCTTTACTTGCACCACCAGCCCATTCCCTCACAGCAACATTTTGTCATTGAGCCAATATCCCATTACCTTATGGCTGCCATGTGGCACATACAGAGATACACCCATATGGGGGTTGGGGAGTATTACCTGTGAGAAATCCTCACTACACTTAGCGATCCCATCTGTATCTCCTCTCACCAGCCCTGATAACAAGCAGAGAGGTAACCATCCTGCATTTAGTAAGGAGTTTTACTGGGCTTTGCTCTAATTTAGCTTCGTTTGAACCTCGTTGCTCACAAGTCACTTAGTTACTGGAGTAGCAACTTGTCCCATTGATTAATATTATGCTTGTTTCTGGCAAGTGCCACAATGTGCTAGTCACTTTCCAAATACACCTCTATCCTGATATAACAGGAATTCGGATATAACGCGGTAAAACAGTGCTCGGGGGGGGGAGGCTGCGCGCTCCGGCGGATCAAAGCAAGTTCGATATCACGCAGTTTCACCTATAATGCGGTAAGATCTTTTGGCTCCCAAGGACAGCGTTATATCGGGGTAGAGGTGTATAACAATGGCATTGTTCTTACCCCCATGAGCTTACAATGTACACCTCTACCAGTACAGTGTTAAATTTGCTCTGTGCTGGCACAGTGGATTGTGTGTTTTGAGACGAGAGATTTGTATACTGAGATGCAGCTTTCCTTGTAAGCTTATCTGAGACCTCATTCCCTTGTTAACTGACTCAGTACTTTGAGATATCTTTTTCTGGAGGTGACTCCAAAGCTTTGACCTAAAGCTAGGAAGGAGGCAGGTTCCTCTGAGACATTTTTAACTCCTTGAGACCCAAAGGAGAGATTCAGATTCCCAAATGTGGAGAAGTTGCCTGGAAGGAGGTTAATTCTGCTTGTAACTTCACAACCTTCTTTTCTGGAAGTTGGTTAGGTATTGGTAACAACTGTCCACAAAGCAAACAAGAACTTGTGGGGGAAAGCACTTTGTATGGTCCTCAATGAGTTTCCTTTAAGGCTAAAATGGAGCAATGCTTGTGTCATTTATCAAACAAGGTGAAGAGCTCTACTGCTTCCAAGGGAGATTTGTCAGTCTTGTCTATTTAGAGTGCAAGCTCTTTGGGGGATCGTCTCTTACCATGTGTATATACAGCACCTACCACAATAGGGCCCTGATCTTGGTTGTGGCCTCTTGGCACTACTGTAATACAAATAATTAATAATGAATTGCTCTAGTTTTCCCATTCTCTCCTCCACTTCCACTGTATCCTACAACTACCTGCTATGTCTTTTTTCAATTAGACTGAGTTCGATAGAACAAGGACTGTTTTAGAATTATTTACAGTGCCCAGCACAACAGGCTCCAGTCCTGCTTGGGGCCTCAGAGCATTTACATAATACAAATAATAATAGAAAAAATGTGTCCTTTCTTTACATGGCATGAAAGCCTTTCCAATTCCCGCTACATCTGGAAGTGGCCAGTACAGGATTTGCCACAGGGAAGGATAAGGAACGTCTCCTTAACTTGGTATGGGGAAAAGAAAGTGGTGTGTATTTGGTGAATCAAAGCTCCACACACTTTCCCAGTCATAAGCCCACAGAGGGAAATTTCTCGCTCTGGCATTTGACTTTCTGGACATGGAAGTAGATTCAGAGGTGTTATTTATGGCCAAGCTCTGCACGGGCTGGAAGGATGAGAAAGTAAATTCTGAGTATTTTGATGACATTGGGCATTTTCTTTTATATGGTATCTAAGAAGTGGCAAAAACTGCAGGCAGCAGTTTAACAAAAAATGTTGATGTTCATTCAATTCTGGGATTTGCTTGTGTGTCTGCATTTAACATCAATGACTTTATTTTAAGAGCCCTCTGATACGTTATCTTTAATTCAGCCTATTTTAGGCTTTGGTCTTTATAAAATAAAAATTAAGTCCTAGCCTGGAAAGGAACGTTAGCTAGTTTATTTCTTCTATCCCTCTCTTACTAAAGCTAATCTTTTTGAGATGTGTAAGGAATGATACGACAGCACGTGGAAAGGTTTTGAGAATCTGTTTATATCCATGATTGTTAAAAAGACTTAGCCCCTCTGTAGTTTGTCCCAATGACACCATTTTATTTTAAATCGCAAAAATAAAACTAATTCATTCAGCCTTCCCTCTACCATCTGTGAAGCAGTCTACAGCAAGATTTAATATTGCTTATTGTGGCTTTTAAAAATATATATGTATTGTGCATGTTGTTACATTTTGTTAGGTGTCCATGAGTTCTTGGGAAAGTGGGCATCATAGTAACTACTGTAATTTTTAACGAGAATGGGTGAAATCCTGACCTCACTGAAGTCAATGGCAAAATGGAACTGAACCCATTTGGATATGTAGAATAAAGCATAAGCATTTCTATTAAACTACAGCTCGATGAAAGAAAATGGTAAAATCCAGTACAAGCAATATTTCCAACAGTCTCCCAACATGAAGCATATATAATATGCTGCCATGCCTCTGTCAAGCAGGAGCACATTTCAGGGCCTTATAAATGGTTTCCCAGTAGTGAGGAGAATCGTGCAAAGTCTGAATATTTTCTTACTGTAACTTGTTTTCATTTATACTACATAGACCAGTCCTTGTACACAGGTGGCCTAACAGCACACGGGCAAATCCTCTCTTTCAGCCCAAACACCAGTGTCTGATTCTCAGAGAGCAACTCTGCCCCAAGAAATGATTCTTGCTGGAGAGAAGACAGAACAAACTCTCCCGCTGCTAGCTTCCCCAAACAGAAACAACACATCGCAAAACTAAAGAAAATACAGCATTTCTTCAAAGACAGAACTGTGTTCATGAGCTAAGAAAACAAACTTGTAAACCTATGGGTAATGGTGCCACCTGGTGAATTCCACCATAGCAGCATATTCAAAACAGAAGCTACCTACAGTAATGTTCTTCTTAATTTAGAAACAGGAGAGATAAGTCCTGATTTTTGTACCTAACTGTAGACCAGTTCTTTCCCCCACTACCCAGAATGCAGGGGTTCACAGAGACTCGAGCTGAAGCAGTGTATGTCCTTTATTTGCTACTTCAGTGAGGGTACATCTACACTACAGGGGGGAGTCGATTTAAGATACGCAAATTCAGCTACGTGAATAGTGTAGCTGAATTCGGCGTATCGCAGCCGACTTACCCTGTTGTGAGGACGGCGGCAAAATCGACTTCTGCGGCTTCCCGCCGGCGGCTCTTACTACCACCTCCCCTGGTGGAGTAAGAGCGCCGATTCGGGGATCGATTGTCGCGTCCCGATGGGACGCGATAAATCGATCCCCGAGAGGTCGATTTCTACCCGCCGATTCAGGCGGGTAGTATAGACCAGGCCT